ATGATAGTAGAAACTGGCAAAGGTAAATCATAATCAACGAGTTCTTCAGATAACAATCTTAATAAATCGTCAACAGGAACTTTCGTAAACAAGGAAGTAACATCAACACTAACCATGTTAAAATCATTTAAGTCAGTCAAGGAGCTTAATTTATCAACCAAATCTATGTTGTTTTTAACATAAAGTTAGAAATTTTGCCAACAATAGGGCTCAAAATGTCAACAAGCCGTTTGGATAAAATATATGAAACTGATCCTATGGAGCTAATAATTGGTCTGACTGGATTCCCTGGTTTGTGTGTTTTTATTAGTCCATACATGTAAGGTAAAGATGGATTAGTGGTAGTAAATTGTTTGATTAATTCAAACAAGGGAACAAGGGGACTGTAGGAAGAAAAGAAGATATGCCGTATGTGAAGGCCCTGTCAGATCGACGTGGGACCCAGGAAAAAACGAAGAGCACACTAAGATCAAATGAGAGGTCTGAAGACAATGAAGGTATGCCAAATGTAGAAACTCTAACAGATAGCTGAGGTAGCAAGGAACATCTGATCACGAAGGACAGTTCACTGAGCATAGGGGCTTCAGCAAGGGCAGGGACTGAAGGCAGGGGCATTTCAATGGAAAGAACTAAAACAAGTCAGAGGATGCAAAGGGAGACAAAGTGGGAGGAGGAAAGGGAGAGGTCAATTTTTGTTTACGAGTTCCAAGAAGCCGAAGGGTTAACCTACGATGAAAGAAAACAGGAGGAGGAAAAAGCGATTGAAGGTATCATGAAAACAATAGGCGAGGGCGACATGACCTAGGTGACAAATTTTCGGAGAATTGGGTGGTTTGAGAGTGGAAGGAAACGGCCTGTCAAAGTAATTTTCAAGAAAGAATCAGCTCGAACCAATATCCTGCAGGAGAAAGCATGACTGAGGGACAAACTGGAGTGCCAGAGAGTGTACCATGATTGCGACAGAACACAAGAAAGAGAGAGTACAAAGACGAAAGGAGGAACGAGAGGCAATGATGAAGATGAGCAGGACCCAGACCCAGGAGGAAGGGCAAATACACACCCCAGCAACTCCCGCAGAAGGACTCCAACCGCGACAACCCCAACACAACTGAACAATCTAAACCAAAACCCACACACTGTTCCCTCTACCCCTAACACCCACTTCACAAACCTCACCCCTACAGCTACCCCGTACGGGCACTCTGCCCCCACCTCCCTCATCACAAACCCCACCCACACCACAACCCCCCATAGGCCCCCACCAGGAGTCCCACTTTCCAACCCCAATATTCTCCCAGGACCACAGTGATAGAAAAGAAGCTGAAGGTTTGGTTCGCAAATATGGAGGGAATAAAGAATAAATATGAGGAATGACACGAAAGAATCAGCGAGAAATTCCCAGACATCGTAGCAGTCACAGCAACGAAACTCACTGAGACAATAACAGATGCAATCTTCCTACCGGGATATCAGATCCTGAGGAAAGATAGGAGTAGAGGGGGAGGAGGGGTTGCACTGCTCATAAAAAGCCGATGGGGATTTCAAGAAATGGAAGGCATGGACGAGACTGGAGAAAGGGACTACACAGCAGGTACAATTCAGCCTGGGGAACATAAAATAGTCATTGGAGTGATGTAAAACCCACCACAGAACTACAGGAGACCAAGAGAGGAATACAAAGAGAACAGAGCAATGATGGACACACTGGATGAGGTGGCAAGAAGAGCTCTCTCAAGCAGAGCAAAGTTACTGGCTATGGGCAATTTCAACCACAGGGAGATCGATTGGAAAAACCTGGGGCCACATGGGGGTCCCGAAACGTGGAGAGCCAAGATGATGGATATGGTACTGGAAAACCTCATGCATAAACATGTCAGGGATACTACCAGAGAGAGAGAGGGGAGGATGAACCAGCAAGACTGGAGCTAGTGATCACGTAGTTCTGAGTTTTGACTATATAGTAGAGTTACAAGTGGAGAGGGTAAAAAGAATTGAATAGGAACTTCCTGCAGGAGGTTCAGTGGGACAGGAAACTGGTAGGAAAGTCAGTAAACGAGATGATGAAATATGTATCAACAAAATGCAAGGAGGCAGAGGAAAGGTTTGTTTCCATGGGAAATAGAAATAATAGGAAGACCAAAGCGAGTCCTTGGTTTTCCCGAAGGTGTAGGGAGGCAAAAATTAAGTGCATCAGAGAATTGAAAATGTACAGAAGGCACAGGACCCAGGAAAATAAAGGGATTAGTCGAAGAGCAAGAAACGAGTATACACAGATAAGGAGGGAGGCCCAGCGACAGTACGAAAACGACATAACATCGAAAGTCAAGTCTGACCCGAAACTGCCGTATAACCACATTAGGAGGAAGACAACAGTCAAAAAACAGGTGGTCAGGCTGAGGATAGAAGGTGGGGAACTCACAAGAAGCGATCAAGAGGTATGTGAAGAGCTCAACATGAGATTTAAATAAGTATTCACAGTGGAGACACGAAGGCCTCTGGGAAGACAGATCAGAAGGGAACACCAACAAGAAGTATACCACCAAGTGTTGGATGACACACAACTGAGGAGGAGGTGAAGAAGCTGCTAAGGGACCTTGATACCCCAAAGGCAATGGGATCAGACAACATCTCCTCGTGAGTCCTAAGAGAGAGGGAGCAGAAATGCTGTGTGTGCCACTAACTACAATCTTCAACACATCCCTTGAAACTGGGCAACTACCTGAGGTATGGAAGATGGCAAATGTAGTTCCCATTTTTAAAAAAAAGAGACAGAAAAGAGGCACTAAACTATAGACCAGTGTTACTGACGTGTATAGTATGCAAAGTCACGGAGAAGATTATCAGAAAGAGAGTGGTGGAGCACCTGGAACGGAACAAGAGTATAAACACCAACAGCCAGCATGGATTCATAGAATGCAAATCCTGTGCCACAAACCTTCTGGAGTGTTATGATAAAGTAACGAAAGTAAGACACAAGAGAGAGGGGTGGGTTGATTACATCTTCTTGGACTGCAAGAAGGCCATCGACACAGTTCCTCTCGAGAAATTAGTGCAAAAGCTAGAGGATCAAGCGCGTATACTAGGAAGGGCACTGCAATGGATCAAAGAATACCTGACAGGGAGGAAACAACGAGTCATGGTACGTGATGAGGCATCACAGTGGGCACCTGTGACAAGCGGAGTCCTACAGGGGTCGGTCCTAGGACCAGTGCTATTTTTGGTATATGTGAATGACATGATGGAAGGGATAGACTCAGAGGTGTCCCTGTTCACAGATGATGTGAAGGTAATGAGCAGAATTAAATCAGATGAGGATCGGGCAGGACTTCAAAGGTCTCTGGACAGGCTGGACACCTGGTCCAACAACTGGCTTCTCGAATTTAACCCCCCAAATGCAAAGTCATGAAGATCTGGGAAGGGCAAAGAACGCCGCAGGCGGAGTATTTTCCAGGTGGCCAAAGACTGCAAACCTCACTCAAGGAGAAAGATCTTGGGGTGAGTATACCGCCGAGCACGTCTCTGGAAGCACATATCAACTAGATAACTGCTGCAGCATATGGGCACCTGGCAAACCTGAGAATAGCATTCCGATACCTTAGTAAGGAATCGTTCAAGACATTGTACACCGTGTACTCAGGCCTATGCTGGAGTATATAGCGCTAGTTTGGAACCCACACTTGATCAAGCACGTCAAGAAATTAGAGAAAGTGCAAAGGTTTTCGACAAGGTTAGTTCCAGAGCTAAGGGGAATGTGCTAAGAAAAAAGGTTAAGGGAAATCGACCTGACGACACTGGAGGACAGGAGAGACACGCAGAATATGATAAGGACATACAAAATACTGAGAGGAACGGACAAGGTGGACAGAGACAGGATGTTCCAGGAAGGGGACACAGAAACAAGAGGTCACAAATAGAAGTTGAAGACTCAGATGAGTGAAAGGGATGTTAGGAAGCATTTCTTCAGTCATAGAGTAGTCAGGAAGTGGAACAGTCTATCAAGTGAGGTAGAGGAGGCAGGAACCATACATAGGTTTAAGATGTGGTACGATAAAGCTCATTGAGCAGGGAGAGAGAGAACCTAGTAGCGCTCAGTGAAGAGGCGGGGCCAGGAGCTGAGTCTCGACCCCTGCAACCACAATTAGGTGATTACAATTAGGTGAGTACACACACACACACACATATTATATATATATATATATATTATATATATATATATATATATATATATATATATATATATATATATATATATATATATATATATATGTCGTGCCGAATATGTAAAACTTGTCAATTAGCAAGAACTCATTTAAAATTAAGTCCTTTCTAAAATATTCTCTTGTACGTTTAAAGATATATTTTTTTCATTAATTTTAATGTAAAAATTTTTAATTTTGCACCAAAAGGAACTTAGAAAACTTACCTAACCTTATTATAACAAGCGCAATTTATTTTAGCCTAACCCAACTAAATGTATTTTAGATTTGTTTACAATAATTTAATACTAAACAAACACAGTGAAATATATTTTTTTCGTTAGGTTCAGAATGATTTTGGCGAAATTATTGCATACACAAATTTTCACTTGTCCTATATGGCAAGATGAGCGTTGCTATTTAAGCCAAGATCGCAAGTTCTGCCTATTCGGCACGACATATATATATATATATATTATTATATATATATATATATATATATATATATATATATATATATATATATATATATATATATATATATATATATATATAATATATATATATATATATATATATATATATATATTATATATATATATATATATATATATTATATATATATATATATTAGTAGGTTGGTAGACAGCAACCACCCAGGGAGGTACTACCGTCCTGCCGAGTGACTCTAAAACGAAAGCCTGTAATTGTTTTACATGATGGTAGGATTGCTGGTGTCTGTTGTCTGTCTAATAAATATGCAACATTATAGGTACGTCTTGCTACTTCTACTTACACTTAGGTCACACTACACATACATGTACATGTTTATTTATACACACTCATCTGAGTTTTCTTTGATTTTATCTTAATAGTTCTTGGTGTTATTAGTTTGCCTTTTATATCCATGGTGAAGTGGAATAAGAATCTTTCCTCCGTAAGCCATGCGTGTTGTAAAAGTCAACTAAAATGCCGGGAACAATGGGCTAGTGACCCCTTTTCCTGTAAAGTTTACTGAAAAGAATACGAAGAAAATTGTCAAAGTGGGAAGTCTGAATCTTCGTGGATGTTGTGCAAATGATAAGAAAGACATGATTGTGGATGTTTACATTGAAGCATATATGTGAACAGTATTCAGATAAAGGTAGGGAATTTTCATTGCATTTATGGATTTAGAAAAGGCATATGATAGTGGGCAGGGGAGCAATGTGGCAGATGTTGCAAGTAAATGGAATAGGTAGTAAGTTACTAAATCCTGTAAAGAGTTTTTATGAGGATAGTGAGGCTCAGGTTAGGGTGTGTAGAAGAGAGGGAGACTACTTCCCGGTAAAAGTAGGTCTTAGACAGGGATGTGTAATGTCACCATGGTTGTTTAATATATTTATAAATGGGGTTGTAAAAGAAGTAAATGCTAGGGTGTTGGGCAGAGGGGTGGGATTAAATTATGGGGAATCAAATACAAAATGGGAATTGACACAGTTACTTTTTGCTGATGATACTGTGCTTATGGTAAATTCTGAAGAAAAGTTGCGAAGGTTAGTGGACGATTTTGGGAGAGTGTGTAAAGGTAGAAAATTGAAAGTACCATTCTACTTGCAATACCTGCCATTCAACACTACCATACTCATTAGCAATATCTGCCATCAAACAAAAAATCAAGGTCGGCAAATGGGAAAGAAAGATAGAATAGATAAACAAACATACAGAGCACACATGAGACTGCAAGTAGGAGAACCAGGAATAAACACAAAGGAGTTAGATAAGGGGCAGTACCGGGACCTTTGTTGCCACAATATACATGAAAGACATAACTGAAGTCGGTCACATGTGTTGTTGAGAGCAACGATGACATTATGTAAATTGACACTACTCAGTATCCATGTAAAAAGACGAATTAGACATATGTACATCATCTGGTTATCTTTACGTAGTAGACGTTTCGCTATCCAGTGGCATTATCAATGCAACACATGGACATAATCTTAAGACTGTTGACCTAGGTATATATAGAAGACGGTGGAAGATGAGGAAATCCGTCCCTCAGCCTTGAACCAGGTGGTGGGCACCGTAGCCTCGTTCCTCATCTTGTAGGTATTATGTACCATTTATATCCATATAAGAAGTAAAATAACATCCATTCACATCCATATAATTACTAAAATAATAATACAATAGCAATACAATAGTCTGAGGAACTCTACATAAAATTTAAAGATATTTTCCGAAGGCAGATTAGAAAACTAACTGAAGTGAAAAGGGAATTTGCAGTGCAACTTTGTAATAAAGTTTCTTTATCGTAGCTGAAGCTCTATATCACTTAATAGCTCTATATTGACGTAAAGTTAACCGCTATTAAAGACATAACATTTACAGGCGATTTACGTCTGGCACCGAGAGACACATTCTCGCTTCTTAAAGCGTTGATAACCACACGTTCTTTGTGTTTCAGTCCCATCCCACAAGGTAGGTTTCTAGATGCTTGTGGGGGTTTATGAGCTGAGAATTTGGATTCGTCTTCTCCTTACCTCGCATTGAACCTTATTTACGCCCTCTCCCCAGGCACTGTACAACCCTATACGGGCTTAATGTTCTTCCCTAAAAATAAAAAAGTAATAATACGCAGTTTAAATTGGAGGAGACGCAGTGTCTTACCATGGTGGCTGGAGGCGGCACAAGAATCAGCAATGGTTACTGAGAACACTGAAGAACACAACATGCGTTCATACACTGCGGTGAATGCGTCTTTTTAGCGATACTCTCTCAGTGTGTGCTGCTGTCTTACTGAGAGGGCCACACTGTTACGTGCCTCCTTTTATACTTCCTCTCAGAGTTGGTCACGCCGTATTGTGATTGTTGTCGCTAAGGTGCTGAAAAACGGCTGGATTCTCTTGTTCATTACGCATCATCCTCTTGTGTTCAGTGATCCTCGTTGATAGCGTTTAGCCTGTCTACTCGATGGCTACAATCTTTGCATTGGTATCTCGTAGACTCCTGATGTCTCTTGTGTAAATGGATGCTTGTAATTCTTGGAAAAAAAATTCCCCCGGTTGTTAGGGTATAAAGTGATTATGTTGGTCACTTCGTGCTATGAGTTGCGATTTGCTGGACGGTGTTGAGTTTTTGGGAGGTTAATATTTGCTTTCTTTTCACCTTGTTTGATGAACCAGTTAGGGTATCCTAGTTCTGAAAATTGTACTCTGAGAATTTCTTATTCTTGGTCCAGCTCTGAGAGGGCTACATATCCCGTCAGAACAGGAGTGAGACGGTGCTTTGCATTGAATGGTGGCCGTAGAAATGAACATAGTTGACAGTGTGAGTGAGCTTCCCATAAACTGAAAATTCAACCAGATTCTTATTTCTGGGGATGAAAACATAAGGATTTTAGTTGATTGTTTGTTTACCATTCAACCTTGAACTGTAAAGAAGGAGCATAACAGTTAAGATTCTCAAAGAATGTGTCAAAGCTGCCCCAGTTGTCGTCCCACATGGTAAAGACATCATCAACGTACCTGCACCGGACTGTCTGGTGGTTTGATTACTCAATCAATCAAGTTCATTCTCTGTAGAGATTACAGTGCGGGGTTTACATATTTTAGAACATTGGTTACAATGTGCATTTTACATATTATAAAATACAAATTACAGAGAGGGCCACTATCATGCCTAGCATGACTAGGCATTTCAAGCAGATTAAGATTAATTCTAACTTTATTGGTACAGGTTATGGAGCATGTTGACATTAAGGCTAGGTAAATGCATTACAGTTCGTAAATTTAGCAATGTGAATGGTTTTATCTTGGCACTATACTTGGCACTTTTATATTGGAGTATCTCAGGCAAACTTATGACTAGTTAAGGTTCACTAGGTAATAGTTTTATTACGTATTTCTATGTTTACAGTCAATTGGGTGAGTGTAAGTGCAAATTTAGGGGAATCACAAATATCGAGAGTAGGTCTAGTTCGCTTTTTATGTGTGTATGATACAAGAGAATAAGTGTGATAAGATGTTTTCTAAGGGTAGTTTTGAAAGTGATGAATGTGTCTGCAGTTCTAGAATTTTCAGGTAGAATGTTCCAGATTTTAGGTCTTTTTATGTACATTGAATTTTTATATATGTTTAGCCGGACATTGGGAATGTCATAGAGATTTTTGTGTCTGGTGTTATGCCTGTGGGTCCTGTCACAACTATCAAGAAAGTGTTTTAGTTCAGGGTTAATATTGGAATTTATGGTTCTGTAAATGTAGGTTGCACAGTAGTGAGTGTGGATGTTCTGGACAGTGAACAAGTTTAGATCTTTGAAGAGTGGGGGGGATGTTGCCTGGGATTGGATTGCGTGATTATTCTTTTTGCGACTTTTTGTTGGGTTATCATTGGTTTTAGGTGTGTTGTTGCTGTTGATCCCCAGGCACAAATAGCATAGGTGAGGAAGGGATAGATGAGTGAATAGTATAGTGTGAGAAGGGCTGATTGTGGCACGTAGTAACGTATCTTGGACAGGATCCCAACCGTTTTGGATACTTTTTTTGTTATGTGTTGGATATGGGCGCTGAATTTCAGGTTGCTGTCGAGATGTAGGCCCAGGAATTTGCCCTCATTATGTTTGGCAATAAGAGTGTTGTCGATCTTAATGTTAAGCTGTGCAACACCTGCTCTGTTACACCTGCTCCAGTTCCCTGAATTGAGTCTGAATACCCTGCACTCCCACCCCTCACAGGCACTTTATAATCCCTTCGGGTTTAGCGTTCCCCATGAATAATAATAATAATAATAATAATAATAATAATAATAATAATATAATAATAATAATAATAATAATAATAATAATAATAATAATAATAATAATAATAATAATAATAATAATGCATACTGCAGCCAGATTTGTTTGAAGAAGTCAGTGTTGAAAGATAAACATTTGTAGTAACACATAATGAAGTTTAACGATGAGAAATTTCAATTACTCATATATGGTAAACACGAGGAAATTAAATCTTCATCAGAGTACAAAACAAATTCTGGCCACAAAATAGAGCGAAACACCAACGGCAAAGACCTGTGAGTGATCATGTTGGAGGATCTCACCTTCAAGGACCATAACATTGTATCAATCGCATCTGCTAGAAAAATGACAGGATGGATAATGAGAACCTTCAAAACTAGGGAGGCCAAGCCCATGATGACACTCTTCAGGTCACTTGTTCTATCTAGGCTGGAATATTGCTGCACTCTAACAGCACCTTTCAAGGCAGGTGAAATTGCTGACCTAGAAAATGTACAGAGAACCTTCACAGCGCGCATAACGGAGATAAAACACCTCAATTACTGGGAGCGTTGAGGTTCCTAAACCTGTAACCCCCCTGGAACGCAGGGGGGAGAGATACATGATTATATACACCTAAAAAATCCTAGAGGGATTAGTACCGAACTTTGCACACGAAAATCACTCATTTACGAAACAAAAGACTTGGCAGACGATGCAACATCCCCCCAATGAAAAGCAGGGTTGTTACTAGCACGTTAAGAGACCATACAATAAGTGTCAGGGGCCCGAGACTGTTCAACTGCTTCCCAGCATACGTAAGGGGGATTACCAACAGACCCCTGGCAGTCTTCAAGCTGGCACTGGACAAGCACCTAAAGTCGGTTCCTGACCAGCCGGGCTGTGGCTCTTACGTTGGTTTGCGTGCAGCCAACAGTAACAGCCTGGTTGATCAGGCTCTGATCCACCAGGAGGCCTGGTCACAGAATGGCCGCGGGGGAGTTGACCCCCGGAACTCACTCCAGGTTATGGCTAAGATTTTCTGGTTGGAATGTGAGAACTTCGAGTTTTTAAACTAGAAGTACACACACACGCACACACAAACATACACGCACACGCACACACACGCACACGCACATGCACACACACGCAACAGGCCAAGTGTCTACTCGACTAGTGCCTGTCACAAAATGGTAACTAACTAATTACCATGGGAAGTCTAGTGGTATTATCACTCTCTGAGGTGGTCACACCGAGGCCAGTCTGTTGGTACCATCACTCTCTGAGGTGGTCACACCCAGGCCAGTCTGTTGATACCATCACTCTCTGAGGTGGTCACACCGAGGCCAGTCTGTTGGTACCATCACTCTCTGAGGTGGTCACACCGAGGCCAGTCTGTTGGTACCATCACTCTCTGAGGTGGTCACACCCAGGCCAGTCTGTTGATACCATCACTCTCTGAGGTGGTCACACGGAGGCCAGTCTGTTGGTACCATCACTCTCTGAGGTGGTCACACCCAGGCCAGTCTGTTGATACCATCACTCTCTGAGGTGGTCACACCGAGGCCAGTCTGTTGGTACCATCACTCTCTAAGGTGGTCACACCGAGACCAGTCTGTTGGTACAATCACTCTCTGAGGTGGTCACACCGAGGCCAGTCTGTTGGTACCATCACTCTCTGAGGTGGTCACACCGAAAGATCTGTTTTACCATCACTCTGAGGTGGTCACACGAGGCAGTCTGTTGGTACCATCACCTCTGAGGTGGTCACACCGAGCCGTCTGTTGTACCATCACTCTCTGAGGGGTCACCCGGGCCAGTCTGTGGTACCATCCTCCTGAGGTGGTCACACCAGGCCAGTTGTTGGTACCATCACTCGAGGTGGTCACACTGTTACCATCTGCTGTACCACACTCTTGAGGGTCGCCTGTTGCCAGTTGCTGTTACATCACTCTCTGAGGTGGTCACCTGTTGCCGTTGCTGTACTACTCTCTGCGGTGGTCACATATGCCAGTTGCTGGTACACACTCTCTGTGGTGGTCAACCGTTGCCAGTCTGTGTACAATCACTCTCGAGGTGGTCACTGTGCCATCTGGTTACATCCTCTCTGCGGTGGTCACACTCTGCCATCTGCTGTACCATCACTCTCTGCGGTGGCACACCGTTGCAGTCTGCTGGACATACTCTCTGCGTGTCACACCGTGCCAGGCTGGTCATCACCTTGAGGTGTCCACTGCTGCAGTTGCGGTCCATCACCTTGGGGGTCACACGAGGCCAGCTGCTGGTACCATCACTTTGAGTTTTTCTCACTGTTACCATCTGCTGGACCATACTCTCGAGGTGGTCACACCGTGCCATCTGCTGGTACCATCACTTTGAGGTGTCCACTGTTGCAGTCGTGGTACCATCACTCTCTGCGTGTCAATGTGCAGTATGCCGTACCATCACTCCGGGTGCACCTGTTGCCTCTGCTGTTACCATCATCTCTGAGGAGGTCACCTGTTGCCCTGCGACCATCATCTCTGAGGTGGTAACACTGTTGTAGCGCTGTTACCATCACTCTCTGAGGGTCACACCGTTGCAGTCCTGGTACCATCACCTTGAGGGGGTCACCCGTTGCCTTTGCCGACCATCACCTCTGATGTGTCACACCGTTTTCAGTCTGCTGGTCCATCATTCCTGAGTGGGAAACTGTTGCCATCGCGGTACCATCACTCCTGAGGTGGTCACACTGTTGCCAGTGCTGGTACCTCACTTCTGAGTGCACACCGAAGCCATCTGCGGTATCATCACTCTCTGAGGGTACACTGTTGCCAGTTGCGGTACCTCACTCTGAGTGGTACACTGTTCCAGTCGCTGACCATTATCTCTGAGTGGTTTCACTGTTGCCAGTCTGCTGGTACTCACTCTCGGGGGTGGTCACACGTTGCCAGTCTGGGTACCATCACTTCTGAGTGGTCACACTGTAGCCTTCTGCTGGTACCATCAATCCTGAGGTGGTCAACCTGTTGCCAGTCTGCGTACATCA